TGTAACGCGTCGAAACAAGTGTCCCACACAATATAAAGTATACACATTCTGGATTAGTGTCGGATACGCAATGCACTTAAACATGTCCATCTGTCCATCTACCCAAGATTGTAGTACCTGTGGTAAACACTCTTCCGTTCCCAAAAAAAAAAACCCTTCTTCTCCTACAAATTTACAAAAGAATTTGAAAATGACCCGAACCAACTGAGCGGCATGCCTACAATGCAAAAACACTTTTTGTACCTTTCGCGTGCTATTCACATTCTATAGAAATAGGAAAAATCGCGCTTGCCCGTGCAATACTATAGAGGATAGAAATTTAGTTTCTTCCTTTGTTTTTTTTAGTCTCTTCAACAACAACTGTGATAATGAATAAAGAAATAATTTTTTTTGTGCTGTAAAAAAGTTGCGTCTTACTCTTCATAAGTACACTTATAATGGGAGGGGCCAAAAACGAACTCGAAACGTAACATGAAATTAAATTTTATTTATAAAAAAACTTATTGTTCTCCTTCTATTATCTTAGTCAAGGAAGAGCAAAAATTATATCTGGTTGCTATGTAAAGACTTCTCTTTGACGGGAACTTTATATGGTAGGAGCTTCGTAGAATAGAACTTTGTAGGAAATTGACCTTAAATGCTGAACCACTGCAGCCGAGTGATTTCCATCATTAGGTGCCAAAAATTAGGTTTCGCTGCAAAGGTTTAGTTTTCGTATGATCTCTTATGTGTTTTTGTTTTTTTATATTGGCTTTTTAAACATAGGGCTTCATATGGAGAGCGATCAGATCGAGCGCAGTTTCAATAGAGTTCCAGCTTCGATCAACATATTTGAGTGTATAAAATTTCACCGAAATATTTCGAAAACTGCGATTTTTTATCGTAGGTTGTGCACAATATAATAACTAATCGGAGGAGTCTGAATGAGTGAAATACTAGCAACTAGGGTTGAACAAATAAAATTATATATATATATATATATATATATATAATTTGTTTATCATGTTAAACTAGTTTCTGAACATCTTCAACGATTGTTTAATTACAATTGACTATCACAGGGCATCCTCAAGAAAATTCATAAGCAAATGGATTAGCTACGTGTATTGGATAAATTATTTTAAAGCCATATTCGAAAGAACATCAAAGAGATAGTGCAACGCCCAAGGCATGTTTTTCTGTGTGACTATAATAATAATACACATTGTGTTCTTCTATGACAATATATCCCTGAATCTAATGTGGTGCGTAATATTTTCCAGATCACAACCACGTTCTAGAGTTTTTATTCATTTTATGAAAATTTATTAATTTTTAAAAACCTGGGGGCTAGATGTTTCTTCAGAACCTGAAAATTTGCTAATTCTCTGCAGATTTTCCTTTTGTTTATCTGAAAAGTCAGGAGACCCTTTATCTATAAACTTAATTCGAAATTAATAAAAATTTAATCGCTGCTGGGCTAGAGGCGAAAAAAGCTGTAGAGCTCAACTAAAGGAGCTTATGAATGAGAATTGAAGTGACATGGAAAATGTACAAATATATTTATAATCGTTCCATATATAGACTTAGGCCAATTTAACTCTAATGTGTGGTTTCTGTCTGCACTGAACTAGCCTTGGGACACCTCCGTTATTATTTGAGTGATGTACCGCCCCAGTCAAACTCCCTACCTGGCAATGTCCTTGAATTGGATCAAATTTTGAATATTGATTGACTAAGCAGCGAAATGCCAAACAATCTCATTAAAATTTTTTTACAAACTCTTTAATACTTTGATCAAGAGGCTTGCATAAGGCCCCAATATCATAAGATATATAAATATATCCGCATAATGGCTAAGTAATGGTACACGTTTCATTTAATCAAGTAAGTAAGGAAACAGTAAGAGTAGTGGTATTTCATTGACCATGAACCCGATACCCGATACCCGAACCCGGTTCATTGATAATGAACCCGAAAGAACAATATCTCCCACTTATTTCACATCTCTTATGTCTCCCTACACTGCCAGATTAGAGTCAAGCTGAACAGTATCTTCCTTCCCCTAGCTAGATAGTAGATAGGAATAGAAAGAATCTCGTTATATAAACGTGTTAAGATCATCTTGAATGGAGCAATACAAGTAAAATATACTTCATCGTTAGATTTGGAGATAAAAGTTTGCATTCAACGATTATTTCTTTTAATCGCGAAGTAATCCATGTGTACCGTGTACAAGGGAGCAAACAAAACGTTTGAATATTTTATAAAACGTTTTAATTGTTTTTTAAATTGGATGTTAAGTATATAGCGTGTGAATTTTTTCGTTTTCTAATTTGTTGTAATTTTCTACCATAAATTTTTAAATACTTGGCAAATGAAAATTTCCCATTTAATTTTTAATTATTATTTAATGCTATGTTTGGTCATTGTTAATATAAAATCCCCAGATAGTTCGTTTTCTCTTTGCTAGTAGCTGAGTACATAACATCAATTTCATGTAAACTATTTTTTTCCATTTCAATAATTTGTGTAAATTCTCTCTAAAAGGTTTTCACTCAAGGAGAAGTGTATTGTTTACAACAGATATCAAGAGACAGAGGAAGCAATTAGAAAAGAACAAGCGAAAAATCTACATTAAGTTTTCGCCGAATTGTGGATAACCATTATTTGAATGACGGCATTCCTTAAACATCCTGAGTTTATAGTATTTGTGCATAAGTGCATAAGCGCGGACAAACCATATTTGAATTCGATATTTGGTGTAATTTTAATTTAAACGCGTCTTCTCATGGCTTCAAAGGGTTTTCAGGCTAAGTATGTAGAGCTTTGCAATCATAGAAAAAAAAGCACGTATATGCTCGGAATGCAAGTAAGTCATGGAAGCAAAATTGAAGTTCATTTAATCATCCTGTCCCCGGTAATTCCGGGCTTTGCAAGTGAAATGGTGAAATGGTGAAATGGACGCATCTGTGGCAGGTGACCTAATCTTTCGATTAGGTATTACCAAACTGAAAAATGTCAAAAAGCGTTGATGGCTATAATTGATCTCGTTTTAGCCAGGAGTCCGTGTGAATCCATTTATCTCTTTATTATAAAATTCTGCTATCTAGTTTGCTATGTTCAGATGATCTCTACGAATTACGATGACAACTGAACTTAATCGCGGACCAATCTCAATTTTTTGGGAAGCTTAGACCTTTGCGTGGTCAATTGTCATAAATTTATTAAGTGCGTACTCATATATTAAATATTTAAGACCAAGTAAAGCTATTTCGGTTGTTATCGTCATTTATATCCTAGACCAACTGTGATATATATGCGACATACAGAAGAACTTAATATAGGCCTAAATTTGTCCCATGTTGGCCTGTTTTTCACATCCCCTCCCATAGTAAGTGTTCTTGCGAAAATTAAGTCTTAACAGGGCAAGAAGGTAAGATTTTCAAGAAAAATGTGTGAGGAATTGTATTGGCCTCTGTATTACTAGCGGGCTTAATCGTTGATGGAGTCTTCATTTGCTTCAATCTGTCAATTCGATATGGCCTTGTAAAAGAGCACATTGTAATGATTTCGGATAACATAACTAAGCAGTGCAGATAGCACTGCACGGTGGGTGGGATTTGTCGCAAACATCATTGTGTGTGCAGTTTTCTCATCTTTGCCATTTTGTTGCAATAGTAAATTACAAACCATCTCAATTGTATTGCATTGCAATCCATTAGAGAGACATGTACCTCATCTTGTGTGAAGTCTTATGCGTGTTATGCACACATTTCATTTAGATAGAAAATGAAATGGAAATGTTGTAAGATTCTTAGTGCGATTACCTTCAGATTTCCTTTGCGGCTCTCTCTCTCTATCTCTCTCTCTCCTTCCCTCTTTCCATATATTACCGTAAACACATAATATATTATCGAAATGAAGAAATTTTCTTTAAACAACGTTAACGCAGATGTATACAAGCACTTATGAACTTATTTGTGCTTTCTTTGAAAAGTTTTGAAAAATACTAGCATATGTTAAGTATTCACATTTAAGCATTTCATTTAACTGAACCCCAACAACAACAGGTGTCTTAGTTTCTATTTGTCTCTAGGCTTGATTTCATTCTACTTTGAAGAATATTTTCCAACACAAAAGTCAATCAAAGTGTAATTTCTATTGGATATTTATTTACGTTTTAAATAATAATAGTAATAATAAAAAAAAAGTTAAATGACATGAAATAGTTTTAATGTTATAATATCGTTGCCACTAACAACAGTCATTAGAAATAACTTAGACCACAAAAAATTTGGTAATTTTTCTCGTAAGAACCCGAAACTGGAAACTACTTGATTCTCTTGAAATGATGATTGATGTCCGACCAGTCGTTGGCGAAATTCCCAATCCACCCGCTGCATTCGTCAGAGAAATTCGCATAAAATCATTGTAAAAGTTAAAGCAAAAGTAAAGCGCATTTTGTGAGAGTCTTGAAGTAATGAGGTGTTTGAGAACCCTTCAACTGATACCATTGATCTTGCAGTATATTACGTTGACGAAAAAAGTGAATTTTGCAAAAAAAAACAATTTTTTTCTTATTTACTTCAAAACTTTTCATACAACCCTCGTGTACAATTTTAAATGTTTGAACTAGTTAGACTTACATTACATGGTTATACTTGAACGTTCGCAACTGTTTGACGATAATTGCTAGAATCTTTGGAGACTTAAAAGAGCGCGTTCGAGCAGCACAGCTATCGTATTACTGACACCATCGTATAGTTTTGAAAACGGCTAATGTGGTTCACATTTTACAAGCAACACTGAACATCGACCCACGTACATGGGCCACTCACCTGACTGAGACATCAAATGTTAATAGAAAATTTTTCGATTTCCATAGGATTGCGGTAGGTCTCTTAGAGTCATTTTGAAATAGGTGATAGGTGAAAAAAAAAAACTAAATTCAAGTCGCTGTTCAAGAGAAAAATATCGTATCAAGTTTCGAGTTTCAATTTCTTTGTGGCTTCTTTCAGTCAATTTTTATTTTTATCATTGTGAAGATCAAGTAAAATTCCTAAAACAAAAGATCAATTAAGTGCATTTTCCCCTACGAATAAAGACTTAATTTAAAATAAAAGTGAAAAAAAAATAAAAAAAAAAAATAAAAAAAACCAGAAAAACAAATCAGAATATGCATTTGCTATTAAAGAAACAAGAAGAACAACGATAGCATGACACGAGACGGTGAAATACCAGCTATTTTTAATCCGAAGACTCATCGGGTACGTACACCTTCCGTGGTGGTTACCGGTGATTCTCCGAACGGTCCTTACGACGGTGGTTTTACCAACATTCTAAACACAAGTAATCCTCAGATAACCCACCAAGACTCGGTGTCGTCGAGTCAACAAGATCCCAATGAAGTTATTACCATACATCCCGATACATGTCCTACTGCGGCAACGGCAGCTGCCGCACGAACCGCAGTTGGTGGCAGTACTGTCACTACCAATGTCCCTAATGCTGCCAACGACAATGACTCATCCAATAATGAGCTTGGAGTGAACGAAACCGCGCATATAACACGTTTCCCCCGCCTAAAAGCATGCAAAGAAAGTTGTTGTTCCGAACTAGCGCAGAAAATGTATTTTGGAGTTTGCGTTACAATATTGGTAACAGCGTCATGGGTGGGTGCAACGCATTGCATTAAGTTTTTATATTTAAATCGCAGTTCTTATATGCTCGATAATATCGACGACATCGATAAGTCAACGGATGATTTAGTTAATATAATGGGTGATGACGATGACGCTCTATTGCCGATAAGCGATAATTCATTGGGTGTCGTGGCCGATGTTGAAGACGCTACAAAAATCTTCCATATACCGGAACCGGCTGTACAAACAAACGTCTTTCGTGCCCCGTTTTTCGCTGCTTGGTTTTTTACAAACTTTTCATTCTTATTCTTTCCGATTTACGTACTAGGGAGAGTTTCGTTAAGAAAATGTGATAAACCCGGTGAAATATTAGGCGACGTTTTACGAGGTTTTCGTGATCGTGGTTTCACTGTAGGTAAGTCTCTTCACTTGATCATATAAAAAGTGTATATATGTGTTGTTAAAGAAAATCAATTTTACTTATTTTTATTTTTTAAACTTAACTTCAGGTCGTTTCCTTAATCGCTGCCTGTCGTTTTGTGTGCTGTGGCTTTTGACCACTTATTTATATACATTATCACTGCGTGCTTTATTTGCCACCGACGCTATGGCATTGTTTGCCACCAATGTTGCCTGTGTCTATTTACTATCTTGGGTTATTTTGCATGAGCAATTTGTGGGAGTGCGGGTAATTTGCTTTTTTACACGTGATACCTGAATTCTCATAGAAAATTCCATTAATGTTTGCTTTACTTTTTTTATTTTTCGTTGCTCTTCACTTGACTTTCTCTTTAACCTGAACGTTGCAAAAGATTGTTGCGGTTATATTATGTGACACTGGCATCGCGTTGCTAGCCTATATGGACGGTATTACTGAGAGCGAAACATTAAGCGGCGTAGTATTGGCTACGTTAGCGGCTGCTTGCTATGCGGTATTCCGGGTAAGTGACTTATAGAACATAAAACCGTTTAATAAGGAATTCGCAATACACGCACTAATATACGTAACGTTATAGTTAACTAGTTAAGATATCCTTTTATTTGCGAGAAACCTAAGTTTGTTTTATGAATACAGATGTTTAAGGCTTTCTTCAAGTTAAACATAGCTTGCTTTCGTACTTTATTGATTGAATTGAGCACGACAGGGAATCATTTAGTTATCTTTAAAAAGGTTTTGAATACAGGGTCCTGATGTTAGATGTATATTTTTTGGAGGCTTTCTTTTGGGGACTCTCTTCGAAGACGTTATTCTCACCAAGAGATTACTATTGAATTGGGAATATTTTCTGAGGTGATTTTCGACAGATGAAGGATCGCATTTCCTATTGTCCTATACACTAGAGTTTATTGATATGCCCGTCACTTCTTCTTCTTCTTTTGCATTTAAATCAATTATTTGAGATATCGTCTTACTGAGCATTAAAAAGTGAGATTTTATCGAATCCGTCTGTTTACCTATAATTCCTAGCAATATCGTTGAAACTCTTATGATAGCCACATTGATATCAATTAGTATAAACATTGCTACGTCCTTAAAAGCTGGGGATGTATTACCCTATAAAGCAAGCATCGCATTACAATAAATATGCTTCGCACATATAGAAAGCATATTGAGATGTTGGACAAATCTTTGCTATCTTCTACGAGAAGACGTAAACAGCTTTATAGGGCGCTGAGTTCAACTACAACTTGTTCATTCGAGAGCAGTACTCTTACGTTTTACTTAATAGTGCAAATTGTACCGCTTAAGTGCAAGCAGAACTTCAAGTAGATCGTTATGGTAAAGGAATAAGGTTCCGGTAAGGGTCCAAGCATCAACTGGTTGTAACTTTTCTTTTTTTTCCTGTTATGTGGACCAATCACTCGGGGAACGTTCTCTGCCTATTTGTGCAACACGGCGACGTTCACAAAGAAGTGGGAAAAGAGAAGAAACTAGTGAAAGTGATTTCCACAATCTAGTAGGTATGTGTTCAATCGATAAGTGCTGTGCCTTTAACGACTGTGCACGCACCATAGCTGTGCATAGACCAAAGCAAACTCTACCGCATTTGACATTTGAAATCGCGAACACAGCACTTGTACTAGTAGCAAAAAGTTACGACCAACAATTAAAGGAATTGAGCTGAAGAGCAACTTATCAAAAGCCAAGATATCGTAATTCCTTTCCAATGATGATACTCGGCCCTATAAATATATAAAGATGGCCAAAAGTTGCGAGAGAAGTGGGGGCAGAAAAACATATAATAAATTCGGCCATTCAAACATTAGCAGCATTTAACTGGAAAGTTTTGCCCTTGACTTTTCAATCATTTGTTATTGCTTTTTGTAATCGACATCTTTTCGAGTAGCGATTCCATTCTTATGACGCTATCCATAAAATTTTCGCATTTGTGAATAGCTTACTAAAACTAGTTACCCTTTCGAGATAAATGATGGCTAGCGTTGTATTATATATTGAGTCATTTATTTTGCGACATTTACTTTATAGTGAACGCATAGTAAAACGTATTCACTTTCCTTCGATATATACGCACAACTAAGCGTCTAAACGTGCAATGCCATGAAATTTCCTTTCCCTTACTGCCACTCGACTAAGAAGTAACAAATTTGCTTTATTTATACGTATACTGACACGTGAGCAGGTCAGGTGTTCAAAATTTACTATAAGGTGAGAATGTAAACTTCTTACAGCAATGAATGCTCAACTGAAGTTAAAAATTTGGCTCTGAGGTGGGTTTTCGACTGTGCCATCTATTTTAGAATTGTCCTTATACTCATCATGAACTTATTGGAATTCAGTATAAGAATAATATCAAAGGATAACAAATAAACTTCTTCTTCTTTGCTTGCTTAATTTGCGCTACGATTACTCAAGATATTTGGAAAGTTAAAATTGATACGTAAAGACTTCAAAATTGCTACATTTTTGTTTGCGTTTTTGTTTTTTAATTTACACTCAAACCTGCTTTTGTGCGGTATTATTTTTAGACGTTTAAGCGGTTCCTAGTCACCGCATAAAAATCATAGTGATGTGAAAACTACTTTTTGTGGCTACTAAGAGTCTCAATTTATTATCGTCCATAGACTGATTAGGAAACCCTTTGAGGACATTTGTAAATTATGCAAATGTTTCACCGCACGTATCTTTTAATGTCAATAACTTTTTTGTGCGGTAGGCACTCTCTCCATAAATATCTTCATAAGAGAAAAATTTTGTAAATTTTGGACCTGGTGGTTATATAAAAAAAAAAAGTCGCCAAATGCTTAGGGGGAACTCCGAAGCATTCGCACAGAGGCCATTGCCTATTTCCCTCCCTCTCTATATATAATCGTGTTCGCACTTATAGGCGATAAGCCTTGGGTCTTTTTTTTTGGATAAACCAATCTGTATCGAAACTAATGGAATTAAGAATTAGTCGCTCAGGATACATTTGTTTGGGAGGATACGCACTGTTGCGTACTCTTTTGATTTTAAATAGTAAATGGTTGGAGAACACTTAACCCTACTCACTGTGAGAACCGAGACATATAACATTGTTTAAAAAAAAAAACAAAGAAAAAAGAAGACCATCCACAGTACACACAAGCTGTGACAACTTTTTTATCCTTGTTAACGTTATATGGTATGCATGCGACTACAGTAACGTTACGTTGATTTATAAACAGCATAATATATTGCGGGTTTATGTAACAGATGTGTTTTATTAAATTTTTGTTCTTGTTGTTATTGTTGTTGTTGCTGTTGTTGTTGTTGTTGTTGTTGTTGTTGTTGTTGTTGCTATTATTGTTTGACTAACGTTACATTCAAGTACATACATTTTTTTTACAAGTGCATACATGTTCGTGTGGCTATAATGAAACTGAATTTTTCATTAAGGTGATGTTTCGCAAAGTGATGGGCGATCCACCAGTGGGCCAGATTGCGTTCACATTTACTACATTGGGATTTTTAAATGCATTGCTCATATGGCCTGTTTGTGTGGCCTTGTATTTTACCGGCACAGAATCTATGCCCTCAGATCGTATGCCCTGGATAATATTATTGATTGCTAGCATTCTGCTACTAGGTAAGCTATGTGAATTATAAGCTCTCCACTACTTGTTTTATTATTAAACGAATTATAAACATTGTTTGCCGTTTTTTTTTTTTTTTTTTTTTTTTTTTTCTTTTATCTTTTTTGTGTTTTCTCTCTTGCCTGCGCAATTCCTTTGCAGTCTTTCATATATTAATGCAATTTAGTTCTGCTGTTACCTATAATATGTTTGTTACGTTAGGTTTAATTACGGCAGTACCAGTTTCGGGAGGTACGTCTGAAAAATGTTGATCTTAACGAAATGGTTTTGTTCTTCGCATAATATTCATATGAAATTATTTCGTCTTTAGCTTTGGATGTAGTTCTATATGGTGCGACATTCGCTGGCATGAAACTGGCTGGTGTCATACTAATAGCGGTGGGTTTCTTTTTGGTTATGTTCCCAGAGAATTGGCCCGACTACATAACACGGCTATTAAGGTAGGTTGAAGATTTTAATTTCTTCTGTTTCTATATAGAAATTTCAACCGTGTTACTACCCTTTTTCCCCTTTAATTTTGCTAAAACTGAATGAATGTTTTTTAAGCTAATTTTCTATTTCGTAAAATAATTAATTAATTATATAATGAAAACATTTTTTCCGTATTATTAAACAAGCAAACGTAATAATAATTAAAATTTCGTTTTTATATATATTTTTCCCTTATTTTTTCTCCCTTTTCAATAATAAATATTTCTTTTTTTTTTTTTATTTTTTGCTGAAATAAATGGTTTTGATTATCTTTGAAAAAAACAACGAAAAAAAAAAAAAAAATATTTCAAATCAACTCATTTCAGAAAAAGTGGTCGTGCTATACTACGTTACCAGTGTTGTTGTGAATTAGCTGATATTCATTATAATCACTCGGTAGGCGGTTGTTATTGTTGTTGTTGTTCTTATAAAAATAAATTTGTATAATTTTCATTTTGGCAAAAGAAAAACAAAATCAGTTAATGAAAACCTTAACCAGTACTTATGTAAAGCGAGCGTTATTAAAGGCCTCCTTTAAAAGGTTTTCATGCTTGTAGTTGTTGTACAAAAAAAAAAAAAAAAAAAAAAAAATTAAGTAAAATATATAAAAGAAAGCTTGAGCTTTTATATAACAAAGCAAAAAAAAAAAAAAAAAAAAAACAAAAAGAATAATGGCAAAGAATTTAAATAATTTATATAACCCATTACTAGGTTTTCAAACTATCTCTTATTTTTTATTACTACTTCTCTATACTTTTTCACGCCTGGAACGGAGTCTTTCAGGATCAATCCATTTGTTTAATAAGCATTGTAAAGAATTCTTTACTGAAACCTCCAGTTAGCTACTATATTACAATATATATATATAATAAGAACATCTCATCTTTCTCTGTCTGTTTAGTAATTTCACATCATTTATCATTAATTTTCGTAGAGCTACAAAAAGTTGTAGTCATTGTTACTTTATCTGCATACTTCTGTATAAACAAACTTTTTTTTTTTACGTTCGTTCTACAAGAGATTAGTGTTCTTGCTCTTAAAAGCCTTTTGATTCATTCACTTATACACACACACACACACCCACACAGAACACTTGTTGGCGGCTGTTATATATCCATATAGTTAATGGTATCTGATTTTCCTCTCCCACACGTTTCGCATATACTATTACCTACAAGTTAACGTTGGCTTCCAATCTAGTAGGAAACGAAATTCCTTGTTATGGCTAATTGTTAGTTTGAACGTTTAATAAATAACATTCAAGTTTTGTAAATAATTTTTTATAATAATAAAGTTTTTTTGAAAGTTTCGTTTTTTCCTTCTTTATATCATAATTAAGCACTCGCAGCTTTTTGTGAAATAAGCACTAACGTTAAGCATGTTTTATAATTCAATTTAAGAATTTACCTTTTTTTTATATAATTTATATTAACCTCCCCAAGGACAAACGTTTTAAAAATTAATTTAATTAATTATTTCTCACCAACGGACCCCCTACTTCTACGATGACCTTCAATCACTAAGTAGAAGAATTTTATAGTAATGGAAATAAAGTAAGTCCATCTTCTTATTTAATAGGTTTCTTGTTAATTGCAAGTCGATCGGGACAGTTATCATCTTGAACTTTTCAAAACAAATTTCGTAATGGATTGTTAATAAAGAAAATATGTTGAAATTTTCTCAGTCTCAAATCTCAGTGCTCTAACTATTGAGGTGAATCAAGGTACATTTCAAACATTGACATGTGGAACGTTTTCACTTTTTATGTCCACATGGACATAAAATCCTGGACATCCTGGCGATATGGGAAGCTGTTTAAGAAGAGAAACCACGGAGTGTATCAGAAGTGCTGTGCATGAAGATTTCATTCTGTATAGGCACATCACTGGCATTCGATGAGAAGATTAGCGTGAACTACAGACGTGATGGGTACAAACGTGGATAGTAGTAGTGAGCTGAAAACATGGCATCGCTCGAGTCGAGCTTTCTCCGCCCGCATTGAAAAAACTTGGAGATAATATTAAATTATATTCCAATGCCTAAAACGCATGAAGTCGGAAATGACTTGGGTCGAACTAGTTTTACTATACGCTTCCGCACAGAAAAAAAGTACAACTATAGCTGGCGGTATAAGTGCAAAAATCTCGATAGGAGGGAAATAATTTTTGATGCCTTTCTCCTAAATATGTGTCAATGAGGACTAATTTTTAATATATTATTACAAAAATTGGTCTAGTATATTGATTTGGCATCTAAGCGTGAAGTTTATTGGTATTATTTTTCTATATGTCTATTTCTATTTAAAAGTATTCTCTTATAAAACGTACTCATGAAAAGATTGGTCTTTGCACGGCAAAAAGGTCTAATGTTTAATATCTTGTGACGAAAAAAGGTGAACAATAATAGAAAGTCTATAATGTCGTTAATTCGTTGCTAATCAAAAATAGTGACGCAACGAACACTCATAATAGTAAAAATATTCCATAGTAAAGACGTAACTGACCGCAATTTATTTTTAGTAAGAAAATCGAATTTTTACTGCACAAATTTATTAATTAATTTTAGGTCTGCCAACATTTTGCAGGCCTACCAACATTATCACTTTCTAACAGAGTCACCATTAGTCTTGAAAAAAAAAAAAATTTTATTAAACTTAGTCAAGCCACTTAAAAATTATATATTAAGTTTCTCATCCTTTCAAAATATATCAAAAAGAAACCGATTTTCGATATTTTACAATGAAAATCGATCCAGAATATATTTCAAATATAAATTTACTGCAGTGGATCGCTTTTGGATTAATTTTCCTTGTCACCTCTCATGTAAAGGTTGTTATGAAAAATAAAATAATATTTGGCAGCAGATTCTTACTTTTGTGACTTTACGACAAAAACAATGATGTAAGGCGTAGGCCGACACTAAGGTTTCAATTAGTTTATTTTGCTTTTTAGAAAAAATACTTTAAAAATTTTTGGCATTTTCGGTTTTTCTTAAGGCAGTTGACGTCGTTTTTTCGCTATCTATCCATCAGCCCTATCTTGAATTTAAATGCACACAATCTATACGTGAACATATAGATGACAAGTTACCTCAACATCTACTACGTGAAACGTCAAAAATGCAAAACATACATGGGCAAAAAAATACCTAATTTATTGAGGTTATAAACTATTTCGTAATGCCTGGCTGTTATCAAATGTGAGCATTTTGTCAACCGATTGTGCCTGGTTAAGATAATTTTTATCGGCCGAAGTAAAAAAAAATATAATTATTTTTTTATTTCAAAATTCGACATTATTCATTAGCACATTCCTCTCGTTTCATTCATCTGAGTTGTTGACCGTCAAAGGTGAAATCAATCATAGAAAACAAGTGAAAGTTGATGGCCGATTCCCTTTGAATTTCACCAACTACAGAGCATTACGCCCCCTTTTCAAACAGGCTGCGAAATGTTATCAGTGGATTTTTCAGAATTCTGACCCATTTTAAAACATAATTCCTTTCAATCAAATATCAAGACGTCATAAAGTTTCTGGACTATCCACGTATAATACGCCATAGTATGGTATCAATAGGAATGTAATGTTATATATTAATGCCGTAACAAGACTTTTCTTCTAAACTTTTTCTAAACGCAACGAAAAGTAGGAGGTTATCAAGAAGTTATGGTATGGTATGAGGTTGTTAAGCTTAAGCATAAAGAAAAAATTTATTTTCGAAAAATGACAACACGGCGGCCATTTTGTGGAAACAGCTCTAGCTCAAGGGACGCTGCGGTAAGCAGCTCCTTTAGTCACAATTGAATTTAAAAAAAAATTATTATGTTACATTCTTATATCTAGGAGCAAATATTAATTTTTGTGTAGTAGAAGAATGATTGAGAAGAAAGCCGACTTTTCACTGGAGAATGTTGTTTTGAAGATAAATTAACAAATCAAAAGCTATGTTTCGGGAAAAATACGCTTAAAGTTTTAACATGTGTTATACAACTGTTTTATTTTTCGATTCCAAGACAAGATACAACTGACTTTTCAAGTTGAAATATTGCTTCTCTTTCCCTTTCTGCGCAGATTTTGTGGCACAAGCTGCGAATTTTCAAGAATTGGGTACCAATATATATATCTTCAAACCTCTAACGGTTTTTAACAATGTCGGTCGCTATGTCCAATACATTTTGCTTACGGAAAATCCCGAAATTGGAAAAAAAATTTTTTTGGCTGACAATGAATTTTTTTCACCTATCCTAGAGGGTTCAAAACATCTATTAAGCAAAAAAAGAAAAATATATATATATATAAATTTTTTGAAACTATCCTCCCATCAACAAAGTGACCCGACTCTGGAGACATCTATTGGAAAAGAACGCCATAATGTATTTTCGCATTGATTATATGGCGGAAATGTGTCAAGGTTCTTAGCAGTTTCTTTTGAGATTGTTTCAGGATTGTTTTAATGCTATTGTAACGGGATCTACTAAAAATAGGGGACAGAATAATAAGAAAAATTCAAGACAAGTTTCAAGTTTCTATATTCATTTTTGTTATTTTCGCTGCTGGGCGAATGGACAGGCAAGTTGCCTACACCTCATGCTAAGAACAAACACATAGCGAGCGAAGTTTCCAAAAAGGCATTCATATTTCGATCGATGAGGATATGTCGGCTGTGGCTATAAAAATGTATTGCAATTCATTAAACATTTGAACGTGAAGAATGACTCTTTTTCTGAATAAAAAATCTTTTATTTTTTTTTTTTTTTTTTTTTTTAAATTTTCCTTTTCATTTAAATTTTTGCATGCTTACAAGTCACTTTGAGTTTACCTAAAACCAAAGAAAAAGTAAACAAAAAAAAAAAAAGAAATTTCTTCGAAACGAAAGATAATCACTAGTAAAGAACGATTTTCTATTTCTATTTCTTCACTTTCTTCTCTCTATCTCTCTTTTTCTTTTCCCCAAACTATAAAAAAAAATACCACATAACTACATAAAAAAAAAAAAAAACCAAAACCGCATATACGGTGTTTCGTTGTATTTTCCAGAAATATCATCTTGTTGGGTCACAATGCGAGGTGAGTTTTATTGCCGAAAAAGCAAAACCGTACAAACAACAACAAGAAGCGAAAGAAAATCCAAACAGGATTTGATTCACAATCAAAATGAAAAAGGAAAAAATTTCGTTTCTCTCTTCTTAAGTTCTCAAATTCAAATCAAAAATGTTTTTATGATTTTGTTATTTTCCGAACTTTTTTCGAAAACGAGGCTAATTTCAATTTTTTTAAAAGCATTTTCTGCATTAAGTTGTTCTTCTTAAGTTAGTTATTCAAGAGAACTAAAATGAAATGAAAACAAAAAGAGTGTCATTGTTGGTTATTTGCGAATTCTTCTATTGTTATATTTTTATAAATATATCTATATATAAATATATATATATATATATATATATATATATATATTTATAATAATATATTTATATATATATATATATATATAATACAACGTTCATGTTATTAATTAACTAACTACTAACACCGTTTCATTATTTTTATTACTTTGTTACGATATTCGATTTAATTTTAATTTTTCTGGGCCTTGTGTTCTTCCCCGTTTTAATGTTATGTTATTTGTGATATTTTCCTTCAATAATTTTTTTTTTTAAATATATTCTAATTTATTCGATAATTTCTCCTTTCTTTGCATGTATATATATATATATGTATACATCAAATACATATTTTGATGTACATTTTGAATGTAACTGTACGCGCTGTGCCTTTCATGTCTGCAAATTTTGTTAAAATGAAACTCCTTTTAAAATGGATAAAAATGGAAGATTTAAAGACTACACTGCAACTACTACTACTACTTCTACTACTACTACTACTACTTCTACTAATCCAATCCCTACTAACGGTATTTAAATCATTTGATAAGTATAATAACAAAAAAAAAAAAAAGAATGTGTGTGTACTTTAACACTTTTTTTACTGTTTTTTTTTTTTTATCATTGAAGTAATTTTTTTAACATTTTATAAATTAATATTTTTTTACTTTGCTTTGCTTGTGTTTGAGCTTCTCCTTCTAAATAAGAGGTGTTCCAAAATGAACTGATATTGAAATTTTTCTAATAAAATATCTCGCAACTAGATAATCAACAGCTTTTCACCGTCAATCGTAAGCGAACGACTATTGTAGTTTGATTCATCGATTTTCTATCATTTTTCTCTCGCTTGAACTAAGCTAAGAACTAGAAGAAGGCACACATTTACCGATCTCCCAGGCTACGGCCACTCCTTATATACTTCTTCACGTTTGTTTGCCATCGTCATCTTGTTACATGTACAGGCAAAATCGTTATATTTTATAAATTTTTTCTTTTTCGTTTTTTTTTTTTTTCACTACAAAAGCTTCAACCAACGGTTAGCAGACTCTTCCCACACTCTACGCACATTGCTGGTGACGACTATCGAGTAGTTGATATAGACGTACAAGTTTATAGCCTGAGTAAAGTAATTAGAGAATTATTCAAAATCATGGGTCCGAAATTTATGCTTTGGATAGCGACTCAAACCTCAAACAAATAGAGAATTTTTAGCTATGGCTATCGCTTTGCTTTTAAAAAGCCTCCGCTACTGTTGGCTCTTTGTTACTCCGAGTAATCTCGTAGAAATAAATGAAAAAGTGCGGCATGTAACCCACTTAGGAAGCAATTGGTTTCCATAAGCTTCTGGTCACTGGTTTGATTAAAGTGCGCTTATGATTGCAAATTGGTTTACGATAAAAATGCAAGAAATGATCCTTAAAATGCAGTTCTTCCATCAATTCAGCTATTTGCAGTTGCTTCTTCTAAATTATTCTGCAACCGGATCTTAGCCGCTTTAATCCGTATATAATCTTTGAATTATGCTCTTTTCAATTTTTTATATTTTACTTCTTGCTTTACTTATCTTATTTGCCAAGAGAAGTTCATAGACTTTTCTCTTCTCTAAAAAGAGGTTCAATCGGTAACGAGGCGAGAAACAAAGTTGAATGATTATAAATTTTTGATAAAAGGAAAAACTTGGGTAACCTAATAAACCCTTCGAAAACGTAGACTGAATTCAAGTCGTTGAAATCTCAAAGGGGAAATTTTAGACGATATAATTTCGAAAAAACCCATCATCTCAAAAGAAAATGTGACCTCTCTGTGAAAGCATTCTACAGAAAGTGATCAAAAAAAGTTAAAACTGAAGTAAGAAAACTGCCCTACGCTTCATCTTCCGGCTCAAGCACTTAATATTATTTAAATTGTATAACATTAGAATATCAGTTAATTTTGGAAGATCACACAACTACACATGTAATTTATTTTCGGGGATAAAATATGTTCCACTTTGAATTTTGCATAACCACATGCGACTTTGCTTTGCAGTTAGTAGTGTATGGCAAGCTTTGATTTTTGTTATTTCCTTCTTTTAAAGCAGGTAAGTTTTGAAATTTCAAAATAAATTTTAATCGATTAAACAATGTTTCAATGGTTGAAGAAATCTTTTCATTCATTTATTGATGTCAATTGATTTTTCTTTTGTCCCATTCTCTATGGCTTCAACTCCTTTATTCTTGACAACTTTCATCAATGCAAACTTTCTCTGTGCACAGTGCCTTATATGTACTTTCCATCTGTCTCTCTTTCTCACTCTCTCTTTCTCTCTATCTCAAGCTATTATAACTTCTAATGACACTCTCAACAAACTAAACTAAATTGTTTTTTTTTTTTTTTTTTTTTTTTTGTTATAAAATAAAATTAGTTGTATTGTAAGTTATAATTACTATTAGTGTTGAAATTTTTTTTTATTATATTTTTTTTGTTTTTTTTTTTTATTTTTCTTTATGGTTTGAGATAAACACATAACCAAAGTTCAGCTTACAAATACTCCTATGTTTTTCTTTCTCTCTCTCTCTCTCTCTCTGTTTCACATTCTTTGTAAAAAAAAAAAAATCCTTAAACCGCCTTACCCGATTGGATTCACGTTTCAACACATAATTTGCACTGAAAAATTAAAAAAAAAAAAAAAAAATTACACACATATAAACTTACATACTTGCACACATGCCGTATGTTATTTGACATTCTTTATATCCCGACATCAACTGCCAAAATTTTCAACCCGTCTTCTAATACAGTCGGCCCGCATTTTGTAGACGTGATGTGGTAGTCGCCTCACCACCAACAAGGTAGGCTTTGAGTAAAAACTCTTACACAATCACACAGACAAACATACATCATATAAGCGTATGCTTAACTTCACTAATCAATTGTTTTATATATATATATATATATATTTTTTTTTTTTTTTTTTTTGCATTGAATACTAATTTCAAAATGTTCCCCAATATTTGGTTTTAAAGAAAATATTAGCAAAACAAGAAAATTGTAACTTTTAAAGCTGATACCAACTAAACCCAAAAAGTGCTCCAAATATCTGTACAGGTAGGTACGAAAATATATTTTGTTCATGTTTTATGCATAGTATTAAAAAAAAAAAAAAAAACGAAAAACCTTCACTTGCCTGAGAAGCAGGTACGGAGGCTAAATTCTCCTTTTTTTATATTTTATTTCATATCAGTCTGTCAGCAGTCCGTTTGAGACTTTGTTTGATTCTTGCTTCCCCGGGAAAATTTTAAAAGTAGACGATCACAACAAAATTGCAAATAACATTTTCAAGTTGAACTCACCATGACCTAAGAAGTCATATATTGCGGCTTTCGATTAAAACGACGAATGAAAATATGTATAATTGTCTTTACTGACATTATATTAGGACATATCTTAAGCTTGAAATCTTCGTTTCTTTAAATTGTTATTAAACGTCTTACCATTTTTGGTGATTAATAATATGGCACATGCAGCGCATATACTCTACGTCGCACTTTTCCATCTGTCTATCATTCCTCTATCAACTTCAGCTCTTGCGATCAAAGGAAACCCAAGAAGAATTTTTGTTGACCTTCACTTGGCGTGATTGGACGGGGATTTTGTTTAAAAAAAATTTGGATAGTTTAAAAAATCTTGCTGAACTGAATGCTGCTCTCTAGCCAAATGCCGCTTTTGGATGAACAAAGAATAAGATAACGTATAAGATAACGGCAGTAAAGCCCCAGAAAAGTGCATTGCAACTCAAATGAAGTAATTTCACAATTTACCACAGATCGTACGGATTGCGATGAATAGGAATAATATTTCTGAATAAATTTCTTAAAGATCGATATTAACGATATTCAGATCGTTCACATAGTCAAGTTCTGCTTTGCTCTAAGCCAAGAGAGTTTAACTGGAGACAATCATTCGCCTCCCTATCTGATATTGATTTATGTCATATGTTCGATCGTGATGGTAAGGAAAGACGCCATACAGCCCGCTTTTTGAATTCTTTGCAGTTTTTTGTAACTTCCTGCACGTGAGACTTGTCTCACTAGACTGAAGCAGACAGTATACATATATATATATACAAAAAATGCTAAATTTTAAACCTTGGAAAACCAATTTAAAGTGAGAAGATCCTAAAGATCTTAAAGTAAAATGAAGCAACAGCATTCGATATTATAGAGTATCAAAGCTTTTTTTCTTATTTTTCTGTTTCTTAAGATAAAGATCGTGAGAGAGTAGCACTAGATAGTCGATCATCGCTGAATATAATTTCCTTAATCTTGTTGGGTTCTCATACTGCTGCCACAACATAAGATCTTAGCTAGAGCTCAGACTTCTGTGTATTGAAAATAATTTTTAACACCCTTCCTTTGTATATTGGCAATCTATTCTACAATTTTTTTAACTAGCTTCTTATCATCGCCGATAAGGTCTCAATAGCGGTTATTGCTGATTGACTGCTCCGAGTACAACTGTTTTCTAGCAATTAATTTGAATTTTATTATTAGCTTAGGAAACATTTTGTATTTTGTGTTCATCTTATAAATATGCATACGTAGGTATATATAAGTGAACAAAGGAAAAAAATATCTTTGATTGAATTTATATATAATATATTAAAAGTTGTATTTAATTAAAATATTGTTTATAAATGCTTACACGTTGTGTTTGTGGTAACAAAGTACACCGAATATAGTTTAACATGTATTATAAGTAGTTGATGCTTCTTAACTATAACTATATATATATATATATGTATATATGTATATGTATATATATATATGTAAAAATATATATATAACTATGTTTATTTATAAATATATTTATTTCTAAAATCATGCTTTTCTCTGCTTTTCTTTTTCCCGTCATACTCTGCGCCTTTCTCTCTCTCTCTCTCTCTCTCTCTCTCTCTCTGTATATATATGTATTTCTCTCTTTTTAAATCCTAAAATGCTTTTTGTATGCCTTCTCGAAAGTGTAGAGAGAATGTTTTATGCGTAATTAAATACGAGATTCCAGATATTTCATAAGTATTATGTAATTAAGCTTTTCTCTCAATTCCAATTTCGTACTTCTTAGACTAAGTCTTTTCTTTTTTTTTTTTCTTACCACAATCCTTTCCGCCTAATTCTGTATAAAATATAAAAGTGATCGTAACACCATTTACTACATTAGATGGATCAAAATTTTGAATTAGAATAATTTAAAAAAAAGTGAAAAACCCATTTGGGAGCAATACGAAAAAACATATCAGCCTTGTATCTTACCATTGACATCCACCACCTTAAACACCTTGAATAGTTGTCGGCGTCTTAATTAAGTTCATCTGCTAAGAACAATAATATTTTCAAACTATCTTTACTTTAAGTTTGTTTTCAGCTTTTGGGAATTGAAAGTATGATCCATGAGCTAAATATAATACATATACGTAGCGGGTTTCAGTTCTTCACTTTTGCAAATTTAAAACAACATACCAATGGACAGATAGAAGCTATGCTATGACCCACATTTGTTACGGGCGAGTTTGTTTCCAAATTTCATTACATTAAAGTTGTTGACGTTCGAATAACTTCTACCGTCAAACTTGGTGTAAGGTGTAAGATATGACGAGTTCCTTTTTTCTACGACTACGAACAATCTAACAACGCATGCGTAAATAGGCCAAGTGGACCATAGTAGCAAGACTAAGTACCTATGATCAAAGGGTAGCAAGGCAAAAGAGGTGTGATCAAAGGACGGTAAAACTAAGTAGCAGTGATCAAAGACTAGTAAAACAGACTAGGTTTGACCAAAGAGCAGTGCCATTTAGTAGCTATTATCGAAAAGAAAAAAAGTAGCTACGATCATAGAATATTGTACCACATCGAAGGGTAGCAAGACAAGGTAGACGTGATCAGAGAGCAAGAGTAAGATTAAGTAACCTGGATCAAAGAGTAGTAAAACGGGCTGGGTTTGACCAAAGAGCAGTAAGATTTAGTAGCTATTATCGAAAAGAAAAAAAATAGCTACGATCATAGAATACTGTACCACATCGAAGGGTAGCAAGACAAGGTAGACGAGGTTAAAGAGCAGTGTAAGTAACAGTGATCAAAGAATAGTAAGACACAGTAGATATGATTAAAGGGCAGTAATAGTTAACAGCTATCACCAAAAAGATCTCTCAAAACCGAAAATACCGATGAAAAGACGGAGTTTTGACACTATTAAGTCGATAAAGACAGGCGAAAGAGCTCAAAACCAAAATAGCAAAAAGCGATGGTGGGTATGAATTATATCTAAGGGACAAAATAGATATTGACGAGTGAATACTTAGTTTTTGAAAATTTGAATTATGAAGGGTTTAAAGGATCAATTACTTCATAAAAAATACACACACACACACACACCTGCATGAAATGTTTGTTTTTCGATTCAGAGTTCAAGTCTGATTCATATTCTAGTTATGAGAATAGCAAGTAAGACAAATACAATCGCCTCAAACCCTTGCAAGCCAATCGTCTCAAGGAGCAACAGTCTTTACCTATGTAAAAGAATGTTAAGTTCACTCTTGTGATTCCTTTTAGACTGAATATTTAGATCTCTAAATCCAAAATTTCAATTTTTGATCTCAATTTCGGGAAGTAGACACCAAACGAACCTACCTGCGTATACCCACACATCAATACAGACTGTATGTGCCTAATCACGTACTTAGAAGCAACAATTAAATTAAAGGAATTTCAAGTTTTGGTGGTGGATGAAAGACGCAAGTGATATGTGATAGACAGTCTCGTCTAAGACAGTTTCATGTTGCGCACTTTATAATAAAAATACATAGTTTTGGCTTATTTTAATTTTACTTCAAAAAATAATAATAATCAATGAGAATTTAAAAATAAATAAAAAATTATTATTAGCCTAAAAAATATCTAATAAAATAGAAAACAATTAGAAAAAATTCAATGTGCTTTCTATACTAAAAATTAATATCTGTTTTATTAATTTTTTTTTTTTTTTTTGTATTTTTTTAATTTATTCTTTATGTTATATTTTGAAACGAAATAAATGTAAAACGAAATCATAAAGATGGGGTCGAGGTCCTCGCCACGGTTCGTTAGCCGGTCAGCATCCCACCATTATCGATTATCGGACGGGATACATAAGGTCCCATCTACGGTCACCCTCTGGCCGTGTGAGATGACTGATTTATCGCCAACTGGTTTTTTACATCACAGCAATCATCATAAACAAAATCAACAGCAACAGCAACAACAACAGCAACAACAATTACTACAATACCATTCATCACCACGACAACGACAATCAAGTCAATCTTTATCATCACTCGGTGGCCATCATTGCTCAAGTACACCCAGTAGTACTGGTGTTCGTCCTCCACCTGTCGGCAGTGGTGGTGGACGCTTGTTTTCATACTTTGGCAGCGATCATGAACATGAACGCAAAAAGTCGGAAACCTCATTCTTCAATTTGGGATTTCGTCGTAAATCAACTGTCGTTTATTACGCGGCCACCGATTAAAAGAATTCATTGAAATTTGAAATAAAAAACAAAAAGTAAAATTAAATGAACAAAATAAAAAACGATACAAAAAAGAAAATAGAAAAAAGTAGAAAAGAGAAAACCGGTCAAGAAATAACAATAACAATAAAATTATAAAATCTCACTATATACCTATAACTTTTAAGTAAATCTTCAATTTCTAGTAAATAGAATAAAAATTAAATAATTGCAGCTCAATAAAAATTTAATATTAAATGTGAGTCGATTCTAAAAAATATAAAATATTTTTCTAACGTAAACTTTTCATTATCAATATATCGTAAACACATTAAACGAAAACGAAAACAAAGAGTCCTACCATCCTTTCATCGCTGTCGCGAGTTAGGGTACATTAAAGTTTATTCAAAATTATCTAAACTTTTTTTTGTTGTCATTTCTTTAGTTAAGCATCTGCCCTATTTGAGGACAGTAAATAGAAACTTTTTTAAAATTATAAGTCCGACCGTGCCGACCGCCAAGTCCGTGTTGGCTGGCCTAAATCTCAATTCGGTGTTGACCATACTTGGTCATAGCTATATTGAGTGCTTAGTCGTGCAACATTTGACCAAACATGCATTGTGCACTGCGGCCATTGCCTAACTCTTTCTCCTCCCGCACTTCTTCATGACAATCGCTATACTGGGCGTATAGGCCACATTTCCTGAGTGATAAAAATATAAATAGTAAAAAAAAATAAATAAATAAATAATTAAATCTGGGGAACACGGGGTCTTTGTCCACCAATTTTTTCCAAAAAAAAAAAAAAATAAAGTGGATGATGTCAAATCATCAGTTCATGTGTAGGTCAGTTTTATACGCTTTCGGCCCTCAAGCGAATCCTTGTCATTATATGAATTGATTCGTTTAAATTTTTATTAAACCGCATTTAAATAATAATTTTAACGGTTTTCCATTCATTTCTTTTAAATGTTTATATAAATTTTTCACATTTCGGTTATCATGGTGAACTGGATCATTTTACCGTCGAAATTCTGATCCAAACAAGTGAAATTTTTGTTAAAAAAAATCCTGTTTTTTGCCTCATAAATATTCTTTTATATAAAAGTTTTCTTATTAGCTGATTAAAAGAGAAATATTATGGTTCCTACACCACTTGTGGTACACGGGTATAATAAGTTTTTGCGGATGAATGCAACACGCGGAAGATTTTGGGATAAACTCATCTTTTATTATATCGGCCTATGCAGAATCATTTTCTGAATCGATTTAAGCTTGTCTGGCCGTCTGTCCGTCTCCCTCGGTTCCATGTGTCGCAGTTTTTAAAATATATTTTGTCCCAAGGACGAACGCTATTGAAGGTGGTTCGTGTCGCACCACTTTTTCGACCACTTACCATATAACAGCTTGTATTACTATTATTATTATTGTTATTATTGTCTTTGTATAAATGTCTATATTAAGCGAAACGATGCAGGGCATCTAATGATGGGCCATGGCCCACTGTAGTGATTTTACTTTTTTTTTGTGGAACATCTTTCTTACAATAATTATTTATGTAGTAACCGTTTTTATTACCGCCACACATACATACATACATACACACACACACACACACATGAATTGCTCGAATGTAAAATTAAACAATTCTAGGACAATTAGTTAAAATATGAATTACACACATTTATCTTCAACAGTATCGTTCACGGATGCAATCAGAAGCCAATTGTTTTCTGCTATTACTAATGTAAAAATAATCTCGAAACGATATCTATATACAAGAATAAAAAAAAAATTTTATAAAAAATTGAACAAAAGAAACTCGCATACATCTCTTGTTAATCGTATATTAATAAAAAAAAATTAAATATTTTAATTGAATTGATATTTAACAAACATTTAATAAACATATATAAGAAAAGAACACGTCCCCATTAATCAATTAATAATTGATTTTACAGACATTACATTAATTACACACAAACAGATCAATTTTCACTTAAAAAGAAATAAGATTTTAAAATAAAATTGAATCAACTCTTTATTCGACTAAGAGCAAACTTTCGATATAATCCATCACCTGGCATCCTATAATATGTTCAATTGAAGAGACACAAAACGACTTGACTTGACTGATGAATCATGTAATTGTCGATTAAATCGGTAGTAAGACAATGACTTTTATATTTTCAACATTCTTTTTTTTTTTTATTTTAAGTAAACATTGTCATCTTAACTTTAAAATGATTATTATTTCTTTTAAATTTTCAATCAAAGTTTTCTTAATTTCCAATAAATGAAGTCAACGTTAATTGAACGATATGGGGGAAAAAAAAAACGGGCTCACCATAGAACCTGCCCTCTTCTGTTGTGATCGTAAGAGAAGCCACAAACGACAGCATTTCGTGCACTGAACAAAACTTAATCCTTCCCGAAAAACAAGCCTTTTACTATTACCATAAAACAGTGTAGCAAACTATAGCATTGAACAAATGCAATACATATAATAGTACTTCACCGACAAGCTTTGCTTTTCCGCCTATCATGAAGCAAAGTATGCAGCCATAGCACTGCAGAAACGTTTCTTAAAGTTTCCGAAGGAACGCTTGTTACTTTCCGGAAAAGCAATTATTGCTAGCACTTCATGGGCAGAAATTAAACTTTCCAAAAAAAAGGGCTTACAAGACCTAGTACTTCTTGCAAAGAATTTAACAAGCAAGAGCCCTTTACTAATGCTTTGCAATTATTGTTGCCATTAAATAAGTTAAGACGACGTAGCATATCTCGAACTCAAGGCTTAAGTTTCTCTGAAAGGAAGAATATATCCTCGAAAAGAACTAACCGGAAAAGTAAAGCTTTCGTCGAAAGGACTGTGAATAAGGGGAGATATGCAATTAGTATTATCATAAAGGAGGCGGTAACGCCTTCGAAAGGAAAAACTCTTCTCCTCACGCTAAACGTTATTGCTATTATATAAAAATGTTTCTCCAAAAAAGTTCTAAAATTTCCGAATGCTACACGATTCGTTTCATTATAAAGGAAGTCGTAGCACCTTCGCTAGGACGCTAAACATTATTATTATTACAAAAATCTTTCCCCAATTTCCGAATATTTTATCTCTTTCCTGGTGCTAAGCAATTCGTGTTATCATAAAAGAAACTCCGAACTCAAAGCCCTTTCCGTATAGAATGAACATGAGATCTTCGAATGTAGATACGACATTTTTGTTATCCCAAAAAAAGATTACAAAGCTGTGGCTTTTCCTGAACAACGCTTAGGCTCCTGCTGTTGACAATGTTTGATATCGCAAAACAGAAGAGAAAGGCGAGCGTAGTCGCTTTCAAAAGGAGTTCTTCCCTTAAGCTACAGAATATTACTTCCAGTAATGTCCCGCATCGTACGGATTTGGTCTCTGATAAGCAATGAACAGGATACTCGCGCGAGGTCAGTGACTTTTAAGTGATGCAGTTAAACAGAAATTTGTACTAAAGTTTTATATACTAAAAGTCAAATTTGTTAGTTATAATATTCTAAAAATATTGGACGCGTTCACCTTTTCTGAATTATGTAAATTTTTATTATGTTGTTATGCTATGTTACTGAGTCGATTCGTAGTCAATTTTAAATGCTTGTACTTTCCTTTACTGAAGGTCTGGGTGATGGGTATAAAGCAAAAAAAAATAAATAAATAAAAAAATGAAACAAAAATCTTATTAGTATAAATGAAATGAATTTTTTAAACAATTTGTTGCATTTAAATATTAAGTATTAGCGAGAAAGGAAAACTAATTGTGGTTTAGTTTAGAAAGTCAAGTTATTGTATTGAGTAAAACAATTGAAATGCGATGAATTTATTTATTGAAAATTAATGATATTAAAAATTTTATTAAAATGTATTTAATATATTATTTGTTTTGTTATATAGAAACAAAACTTATTGGAATTTTTATACCATACACCACTTGGGTGTATATTGAGTTAGTGTGGATATATGTATGTACGTAACACGATGATGGGTTTTGAGACAGATTCATGTTTTATTATACCGATCGATTCAGAATCAAAGTCTGCGTTGATCTAACCATCTGTCTGTCCATCCATCCGTCTGATCTTTCTCCATATAAATTTGTACTCAAACTGCAGGTCGCAATTTTCGAAATATTTTTATGAAATTTGGTAGAGTGACGTGTTTTGACTCAAGGACGAACGCTAGTGAAAAAGAATTGGGACCGGTCCACTTTTTCGACCACTCCCCATATAACGCTCCGTTCTGAAAAGTGGTCATATGGAAAAAAATTGAAATTTTTCAAAATTCCTCGACAAAAGTGGCTAAGTAATAGTACTTGGGCATTCTAAATTGGTATGAAAATTTTGGACCGGTTGTGGGAATTTTCGAACCTCTTCTCATATAACGAAAACTGCAATTTATCACATAAAAAAATGAACTGCACCAAATGTGGATCATCTTGGGCTATTTTTTGAATCCTACCCTAACAGAAATTTTCAGAAAAATTGGTGCTGTGTAGAGCAGAAAGGTGGTGATGAAAATTGACCCATAATAGTATTTTAAGTATTAGACAATGTGGTGTAGGGTATTTAATGGTCGGCTTTGCCAGGCTATAATCTTCTTATTTTTTTTACTTAACATTTATTTGAAATGGTGTAGAATTCGCACACAGGTCTTATCAGTTCTTCACATGTTGGCGATACTCGCCAAGTTTTAAATGATTTTTTTATAGAAAATTTCTCTTTAATACAATTTTTATTGTTTTTATTCTTTTAAATAAATTAAAGCAGTCCATCCTATAAAGCTTTTTTTTTTTTTTTTGCTATTCAACGTACTTAAGTTGTTTAGGATATCATGTAGAGTAACTGGTGTAAGTAACTTGCCTGCATAGCCGAGTAGGTACCAAGTCAGTGCTTACCGTTTCATAACTCAGGTGCGGTAGAGTTTTCGCTGGTTATAGCTATGGCGAGTGGTCAATGCTCAATCGGTGAAAAGTATAATACCAAATAGCCACTATTTTCTATTTCACTAATTTTTTTCTCTCTCCTCTTTTCTCCCTGACAATAACCTTGTTACGGACGTTCCCTGAGTGGTTGGCCGTATTAAAAAAAATACATCTGTATTCGTATTTTCTTTTCATCATAATTATAGCATTACTCTGGATGTACTTGTAAAATCTTTTCAAACCTATATAAGACTTCATGGAATGCTTTTCAACAAATTTTACGGCGATTACATCTCGAATCATTTGAGAAGTATTCACCCTTTCAGAAAGCAAGTGTTAAGGAAGACAAGAAGATTCAGGTAAAATTAGTGAGAGAAAAAGAAACATGTCGGGTTAATCAAGTCGTTACCAATATTCTGCCTTGGCTTTCTCCTTTTATTTGATCAAGACCTATGTAAATAGAGAAGACATTCAATTGCTCGCTTATAAAAAAGATCAATACGGCAAAAATATGGCTGACGCAAATGTAAATTTTTGGAACAAGAATATAAATTTGCACTAGGTTTTGAAGTACATGTTGTTTCATAATTAAATACATGGAAGACTAATTGCGAACTGAAAGAATGGGATATAATCCCAAAAAGGGAAATAAGAAAATCGGATGTCCCTATGAGAAGATGTTAACATTTGGATATTTTTTCTTTGTGTCATACCGAACATTATTCGTTTGCCAAACTTGTCCTTTAGTGCTTTATTAACATTCTATGCACATTTTCCACATACAAGTTTTCAATTCCTAATTTTTAATGTTTCACTTTCCGCAATTCCTCAGATAGATTACTTATACATACGTTTATAAAGCAAAGACAATGATAAATATCTTATCAGCAAATTTTTATTTGCGCAATTTTTGGTTAATAATAAATGTTTTTATATCTTTTTGGTACTTGTGGTGTTCGATTATGTATTTTGTTTTTGCGAACGTATATAACACGTAGGCGGAGGTGAACCAGACCCATATTTTATTATATCAGTCGATTCAAAAAGTGATTCCAAGTCTTTCTGTCCGTCTGTTCATTTCGTTTTTTTGTGTTCAATCTACAGGCCCCAGTTCGGATTCGACAGCTTTTTCGATTACTTTGCACACGGAATCTTGTTTTGAAAACTTATTATGGATATAACTGTTGGGCGTATAGGGAATCTAATAGTGGACCGTGGCACGCGATAGTCTTTTCACTTGTTTCTCTTCTAACACCAATCACTATGGGAATGTCTCCTATACGTGTGTAAACCTTCTGACGGTCAGGATGAAACAAATAGGAACAGAGGAATGCAGTGTGATTGCGATATGAGAGGTGTGTCCCCGACCAGCAGGTGTTATGAATTTATCATTCGAGCACTCGCTACAGCTGCGACCATAGGCTAAAAGGTGTGCTGCAGTAGTTTGAATGGAGCTACGACAACTTGATGGCAGCGCGTCTTACCTACTAAGCGATGCCGTGCTGCAACCCCAAAGGAAAACACAATCTTACGATAGTTGCTTTTTTTGCTTCTGTAACATAAAAACTCTGCGGATTTAGATGGGATTTTATGAAAAGGTTATCTTTTAAAACAACCATTTATTTAGAATCGATAAGTCAAAAAAATATCAAGCCATGGCAAAGTTCATAGATTCATTTAATTTACTTCACCCATATACATTAAACTATACCTTAGCTTATATCTTGTGTATTACTTTTCAGATTACTTTATGTCAACGTCCTGTGGCAAACGCGGAATATCCGCCGTCAGATGAGGTAAGTGTATGATACTGTTCGTTTTTTTTCTCAGTAATGGGCACAAAAAGCCCGTTTTTACAAATACGTTTTTGCGAGCTTCGGAAATAGATTTAGTAAATATTGATTTAATATCTGCTGCGGATAATAAGCTATTGACAAATAATATATAATATAATGCTGGACGCTTCCCATGATAGTCAAACAATTCGTATGCTATAAATATATGCAATATAAATCTACGTCGTATACTATATTTATTTATATATATATATATATATATATATATATATATATTCAAATACTTTATGTATATTTTATACTATATACCGTACTATAGTATTATATTTCATGGGTATATTCACATGAGATATCTTATTTTTCATTAGATCGTAGTACTCTTACCCTCCAATGCTTTTCGTTTATTTTTAAGGCTTTAATTTTTGTTTGATTCACCAATGCGGATAACTGAAATTCATTGAGAATAACTCGTTCTTCATAAATTTGTTGAAGATATGTTAAATGGGTAACCAAGATTCGACTATTATCGCTCGACTGTATATTCACAATACTTTGCTTTCAAAACTACTTTGCTTTATGGAAATGAAAAATTTTTGAATATAAAAAAAAAATTCCTTTTTCGATTTTTTAATCAAAAATCATAGCAAACATTTGAATCATCTGTCAATTTTCTGAGCGAACAAAAGGAAAAATTAATCAAAAATAAATTCCAAAAAAACGATTAATCAAAAAAATTTATTAAAAATTCAAAAACGCTTTATCTAAAACATATATATATAAATATATTAAATACAAAAAAACGATCAAAATTTTGCCAAAATTTGAAAAAAGAGCATTTGGCCAAAAGGGACAAATTTTACCAATTCGAAAGCGACAAAACCCAATTTTTATTAAGATCCATTTTTTTTTTCTAAAAACAAGAAAAGAGAAAAACAACTGCAACCGATTGATAATTTGAATAAAGACGAGCGAAAGGGCGGAAATCGTGAAAAAATCCCAAATTTAAAAGGAAAAAAAAAAAAAAAACGAGAGAAATAAAGAAGAATTCATTTCTTTCGGAGAGTGTGCAGTTTGTTACCTTTTTGGTGTTTGTGTTTTGAACATTTTTTTTTATGTACACTGTTCCAGAACTTTCCCATTTAATTTAATTGAAATATTGCAGCAATTTTTGTTTGAAAAGTGTACGTCCGTCTTCTTGTTTATTATTTCGGTAAAGTAATAAAAATTTGCGTAACCTTTCACACCTTCTTCCATATTCAAATAAAACTTACGTCTCTTTTGTCTTTGACTACTTTTCTCAACTTTCCCATTAAAAGGACTTTAGATACGTCAATAATTTTTTTGTGACGCGAACAAAAAAGGATTTAAAAGATATCAAGAAATCTGATCAATTTTTAAATTTCAACACGGAAGACATAACAACAGTCATCATCAAAATGAATAAGTACGGTAAGTAATCGGTTTCACTTTTTTATTAACCTAACCTAAAAAATGCACAATTTTTTTTTTCCTTTACATTTAAATGAAAATTTCTTCTTCTTATTGTTAAAAAACGAAGGATGTATTTGAGAAATTGCGAGTATACAAATCCTACTGCTTTACTCTATATGAAATGAAAAACTCGGGGGGGGGGGGGGGGGGGAGAAAAATTTGTTTATTGCTTATATCAATTGTGTGATATCATTAATCCAATTTAAAAGATGATAACTATGCTATAGCTTCCTCTATTTATGCACAATCGATGGAGGATGGGGGGCTGCCCACATTAGAGCTATTTCTTTGATAAAAGCTTGCCGCCCCCGCTCTCTTATGACATCACCTTTGAGATAACAGTTTGCCGGCTGTGCAAGCTTTTGAATGGAGAGAAGAGGCTTCCATTTTTGAATACTATATGTACACATTTTATTTCGCCGTCCCCATCACCAAAGAATTTATTTTGAATATTTGTAAAAAATTTGATAGACATCTGAACCCGTCTTTGTTTCTAGAATACGATTGAACGTATTCTTGTTCTTATTCGCGGCCAGAGACGACTTGTTTTCTTCTCAAAGCTATTTGCTTTTGTGGCGAATATTATTACATATGTAAAACGGTTGGTAAAATGCCTCTAAAAAGTATTCACTTTATTATAACCTAATTGTCATCTAAGAGTCTTCTGTAGGCAACTTTGTAAAATATGGTGTTTCTTACAAATACTTGATAGTTTAGGTATATGACTCTGCAAAATATGATGAACGAAAAATTCAACAGGCTTTGGACTTTTAAAACTATCGAGAATCATACGTTCTTTGTGAACTTATAGCTAGATTGACCGCCGATGCGATTATACAATTCAACGATTTTTAGTTCGTCTCTGCAATACATGTTAGCAACGTCTCTTGCTATATATTTGGACCTGATAGTCACAGTTATAGTCAAAGACGAACATTACCGTGTCGCTTGTAAGCCAATTGCAATAATACCAAAAGAATTTAGATAGCCATGCTTCAATCCCGAAAAGATAAAGTGCCCTTAGTATCAGCAATGCTTAATGGCAATTGTCAATAATCTTTTAATCTTTTGGTATTTTGCGAATCCTGCTTTCAGTTTTCTCCCCGAGTTTCGCAACTTTTTCTTCGATTCAATTTACAAAATTCAAGAAAATTAATTTGTTTTTTTACGTATATTAATAATATACTTGAAAAAAAAATTTTTTTTGTTACAAAATCTTAAACCATAAAAAATAATTTTTTTTTTTTAAATATATTGTGTATAATGTTTTGCTTGCATCTTGAATAGAGACGCATAGTAGCATGCTTAAGGAGAAAGGGATGAGGAGGCAAATACACACTTTTATACATTATAAGCCATCACTTGATAATGAAACGGAGGGGGGTGGGAGGTGGGTTTCATTGGTGTCGTAATACCCATAACTATGCTTGTCTATCGGTCTCTATCCTCAGCAACATGAGATTCATTTGAGTGTCTGCCATTCACTCATGCAAAACACAAATCTTGACACAAAAACCTAATCCTTGGCACATATCTTTTAGTTAATGTCTATAGATTAAAATAGAATCAAACAGCGCTCATATGTGGGGGCTGGCCATCCTCTATAAAAACTAATGTTTCAAAATACTTTTATTATTAACTTAACAAATACCTTAAAAAATGATTGCATATACATAAGACCCTTTGAAAGGTTCCTGGCCCGTTCGGCCGTACATAGTTGTTTAAGATAGTGAATATTCAATATTCGTCCAAAGGCGATCGTACATTTTTTACATTTATCTATAATTTTAATATTTAAAGGCACTTTCTTTGCTTTTTTTTAAGCTAACTAATAATAAGCAATAAAAAAAAAATTTTTTTTCTCTTGTAGTCACTAAAAATGGACGGAATGCAGAAGTTTGCAAAACATTGAGTCTTTTTTATGGTTTCTGTAAAGAAAAGCAAATCTAAGATTTTTTATGATTATTGTTTTTTTTGTTTTGTTCAAATATTATAATATAAAGCTCAGCAGGAGCTAAAAAATATGCCACAAACATTGTTTAATATCATATGATATGATGGGCTTCTCTCCAATAATATTTCATTTCATTTTATCCGCAAACAATAGTGTGCGGTATTGTCTTTAAGTTATTGGTCATTCTTACAAAGATAACGATGCCACTACCGTTGCGACGATGAAAAATGTGTGAAAATATTTTGAAACAACCACAGCCGCTATTGAATACTCTTTGTGTCCCTGTTTCACTTTGATAACGTCGTTACAGAATATAAAAAAAAAAAAAAAAAATAAAAAAAAAAATGAAAATAAAAAACTTCAAATTTTTATATTAAACAAATGCTATATTATAGCAGTGTACATATTTCTACATTGACCAAAACCAAGTGGCGAACTGGTTTTTTGCAAAAGGATCTTTCCGAGTCAGCGGAAAACTTAGAAAAAGTTCTCAGGCTATGATAATAATAATCATAATAAAAGATGTTCATCATAATGATCATTACAAAGAAGAAAAAAAAAGACTTCGCAATCAAAAGGTATAATGAAAAAAGACACCCTAGCCAGTCATAGAGGAAGTAGTAGTACCCAACAAAAAGAAAAAATCGGGTGTTTAAAGGTTAAAAAAAAAAAAAAAAAGAAGTGAATAATCAGTTATAGGGAAAGTTAATGTGTATGCTGCTGCGCTGCTCATTGTAGTCAATAGTGACCATTAACGAAGGGGTGCTTGCTTGTCACTGAACTCTTTCTCTATAAGCAATAGCTCACAAATAACAACCCTCATCTCGTTTGCTCAAGGCTGGGACGTAGGCAGCCGCCGCTTAAGCTCTAATAAAGGTAGCAGCGCAGTTTTTACCAATATATGTAAAGAATTTTTCTCCAAGTTGTTGCTTTTTTTTTTTAATATTAACAGGTTTTCTTCAGACACTTTTTGCCTGCAGCTACAGCTGTTCGAAACTTCATGGACATTAACTTTAAAATTTCTTCTTTTTTTTTTTTTTGTGATTCAATTCAGATCTTTCGATCCTACTTTTTGTTTTTTTTTAATATTTTTTTTGTATATATTTTTTTTTAGAAAAGAAAAATCTCTTGCTTTTGCACTCAAACTCTATTTAACGCTCTCTATTAAAATAGTGTTTGTTCTTTGTTTTCAAGTTTTTCTTTTTCACGGAAAAGTTTTCAGAGAGCTTGGAAATTTTATGAGAATTCTCGAGAAATATGAGCCAAGAGAGGAGTTATATTTTTCTTTGCTTTTTCTTATCATTTTAATTATATGTTAGAGCGTGTCTGTCTCTGTAGCTGTGCTTGTGTATTAAATATATTAAAAATGCGATATGAAACCTTTTTCTCCGTGGCTTGGTGTGGCATTCAATTCATTAAAAGCAAGAAAGAAAAAAGAAAGAAAAAAAAAAAAAACACATGACAAATAACGAGATTCTTTGTAATAGATTATGTCTACAACTTAATCGCTTTGGAGATAAATGATGACAATGTTTTTAACTGATGCTGTTGTGTCCATCCTTTCTTTTTTTCCTCTTCTTTGTCAACTAAAGTATACGAACAACGAAAGACGAAGAACTGAAAGGTGACAAATTTTAAATACTATATCGAATATTAGATTTGCTTTTGTTTTCTGGACGGAAAAGAATATTTAAATCACTTAAGCGAATCTTAGAAATGATGAAAAAAAAAATTTTTTTTTTCCCCTATAAACTTAAACTTATCTTAGTTTGTACTTAAGCATGAATAAAAAACCCAATAATGATAAAATTAAAAATGAGGATACTTGTAAGGTCGAAGCACCAGCTAGACGACATTTAAACATGTCGTAACGAGTTTTCTTATCTTCGACAAGATTTTGAAATTCAGCTTCAACCAATTGTCCATCATAGTAGGTGATTAGATCTTCAAAAGGATATTCGTAACCCTGCAGGCATTCACACTTATAACCGCCAGTTTCATAGCCACGACCCATTATTGGAACACACTGTAAAATAAAATTGTAGAATAAAATCGGCGACTGACTGACTGACTATATTACTCACATAGGATGTTTTTTGGTCACATTTGTCCGTATTCTTAAAAGCATTCGCTTCATAATACCAATCAGGGCATTGATTAATATCCAATTGTAGCATGTCCATCGAAACTGCCACTACGCCTCTGTATTATATATAATGAAAAAGCATATTTTAAATTTTAGTTAATATTTATGAAAAAATCATAATTTTAGGGCAATTTAACGATGATAATGTAGCCATTAGGGGGAATCCCCTAATACACCGTAAATAAATAAAATGCATATAAAGATCGAGTGCCATGTGCCTGTCTAATCAACAGTTTGTCCGTTAATTGGAAAAGACATCTCTCTAATGCGATACGCCTAGGTCGAAGAAATGTTTCAAAACTGTAATAACTTTCAAAGGCCACAATTTTGGCTAAGCTCCGTTAACTAAATTGAATCTCCTGAGAGCAGCATATGGGGGGTAAACATTTCCAATATTTTATCCCCCATTTGTTAAAAATTTTCGCAGAGCTTTGTTGTTGTAATTCTTACTAAACTTGTTTATAAATCGTTACCACAAACTTATCAAAGTGATTCTGATTATGAATGCAGTAAGCGGTTTTTGCAGAACATCTAACGATAATATTTAAATGTTGCATACGCGGATTATTGGAAATAGAAATGATGTTTTTTTTGTATTTACTAGCGAACCTTCGAAATTCACATATTTCCTATTGAAATGATAAACTAAACATCCGTCGGTTGGTATATTAATTTTTTTTTTTTTTTTTTTGAACCCAACGGAATTCCAGACATTTTCCCCTTTTAATTTGTGAAAAAGTCATTAACTGTAAAGAGTTGTCAACAGTTATGTGTAGCAATTACTTAAGAGCCATGAAAACAGCAAACGATTAAAATATAAAATAGAAAAAAAATCAAGAATCACAATCACAAGCATATAATACGTTAAACTATTAGAAAGAAGAAAACAAGAATATTAACGACCCCTCTGGTTCGGTCGAGCAATGAGCACAAGAAACACGATCTAATCTAGTATTCAAATCAACAGCAGATAGGCCCGCATAAAAAACGCTCACTTAGCTCATGGGCTATGACAATGAATGAATGAATGAATGAATGTGAATGACTTCAAATTTTCTAGCAAACAATAGAAATTAATAAACCAAACCCTTTTTTTTCTTTTCTCTTCCCTAAGTTTGTTTATTTTATTGTATCTACGCATTGTGTTGTTGTGTATTATTCATATTACTCACTTGAATTCCAGTTTCACTTTAAGGCTATCCCAACCGAAAAACGGCGCTGCATAGGTCACAAGCCATTTCTTAACATAACCATCACAATCGAATTGCGGTTGCGTCCAATGGCCATGCTTTAAATTTGCCGCACGATATGATGTAGGATAGTGTTCATAACGTTGCAAATATTCACCTGTCTCGTTTTGGCGTATTTGTAACTTTAAATAGAACGTTTCCAGATCGTCAAAGTTGGTCGACCAGCGTTGCTTCAAAAACTTGAAAAACTTCTTTTCGGTGTACATTTCATGGGTTTTATTCAGACGTGCCAAATCTTCAACTTTAAATTTTCGTGTATTCAGCTCGGTTTTATACGCATAGGGTGCAAAATAGGTGCGATTTGTAAATTTATTACGTTCCCAAAGTGTGGCAGCCGACCAAACTTTTGTATCGCCAAGAACAATAGCCAAAGTTTCGCCAATCATTTGATCCTCGGTTAGCGGTTTGTCGGCCACACGTTTGCCCGAATACACTTCATTAGGATCAGAGACCTGCAATAACATAACAATGAAATTTGAAAAATACAATTCATAGAAATATGAGATTTGAAATAGGAATAGAAATGAAAAGCGCAGATATGAGCATTGTTTAGATATATTTGAAATAACTAGTTATTCTTAGCTTTTAAAATGAATAAACAAAAACAAGGAATTGCGCTACGTCTTGTGCATTATTTACATTTGTATTATATACATATATGTATTTATATATATATATATATATATATATATAAATGTACATTATCATTTTATGACTAAATTTCCGCTCTTTTAATGTTATTCATTATTTGTTTAAGTTCTTAAATTTAGATTCGGGTTTTTCTAGTCACACTAACTCACCCTACACAATAATAATAAAACAGCAAAACTTTTAATACCACCGATGATATTAAACAATTTCTCAGCCAACCTTAACATATGTTGTTCATCTCTTGATCATTTGACACCTAATTGCCTGAAAGCTAATGTGTGCATGTTTATGTATTTGTATGCATGTATGTATATCGTAGAAAACAGGTTATATTGAGTATGCAAAGATACGATTCAGAAATTTGAGTAAGTAGCGTGAAAAATTCTAAATTTACACTTGAAAGAGTTTTTCACAGAAAAATATGTCGTAGTTATACAATAACGACAACAACAATATTTTATTATAAAATTTGCTAAAATATTTAATAGTTGATCATAATTAAGTGTTGAGTTTCTGACAAACACAGGTCCAAAAGTTTCACTTCCTTCCATTTTAGGAAACGAAAAGAGAGTTAGCTAAGCTTCTTGCACATTCGATTAAATTGATTATACCCTTGTAAGGGCAACGATTTTACAAAGATGTGGCGTACATATGTACAAAATGTATCATTAGATCCAAGTGGGTAAAAGTTTGCTATGATTTCCGGGGAAACTACGATTATAACTTTAGAGCAAATATTAATTTTTTTTTTTTTATCAGATTTCAGAGTTTTTTAAACTCAACGCGGAGCAAACACGATTGACTTTTTCTTCTTCTTAGACTTCAATCACAAATCTTTGTTTAGAATATTATCGAGTGCTAAATTTGTGTAAATTATGGGATTATATAAGGAATAAGGCAGAAAACGTAACATGTGTGAGATTACCTGCAAAAAGGCACTAATAAAATTGGCCAATCGCACAGCCATTTTGGCTTCATTTTCGAATTGTTGTTCGGCACCGTAACTAACATCGCCGCGCAATATGAGATCTTGTGGATGGAAACTGGGGGAAAAAAAAACATTTGAATTTAAAAGCATTCATGCAAATTTCTAATAATATCGCCAACTTTTTACAAGTCCGATAGTTAACACCGTGTATGAATTTCAAAGCCTGATCGATATTAAGAAACTCCGTATGCAGAGAGCTAGCACCGGCACTGGCGTTGCGATATTCAGGATGTAAATCTAGATATTTCTCCCGGACGTAATATGATGCTCTTTCCCATTCGATGGGCACTTTCTGAATCCCTAAAATCATTTCAAAAATTTTCAGTATTATTTCATAACTTCCTTGGTATTTCTTCTTTTCTCTACGCACATCCAATTTTCAAACAATCGTAATCATTGTAATATTGTTCTGCTGAAGCTCTTTCGACAATTTCCCCTAGAAATGGACGCCGGACTACGTTAGGCAGCCGAAAACCTGGTCTACAGCGACATTGATAACCACCTCGCCGAAAGCCCCAGCCATGTAAAGGTTCGCATTCTGTAGTCTCCTTTTTACAGCGTGCCGTGTCCGCAAAATGATTCGGACCTATATTACCCTCTCCTTTAGGACATTGATTTATGTCAATCCTCTCGAAATCCATTTCTAAAACTGCTATCGCTGTATACCTGAAAGAATGATGCAATTGCCAGTTAAAAGTTAAGTTGTTTGTCTATTTGAACTTACTTGGGATACTCAATATGTCGAAATTGAGTATGACGTGGATATATATCGGCTACTGGCACTACGGCTGATATCAACCATTTATTGGAACGACCACAATCAAAGTACGGCCTTGTCCACTTTATCGGGCCCGGGTCTTCATCGGCGCCAGGTGGTCCATGAAATGTATAGGTTTCGTTTGTGTTATTCGCGTAACGTATCTCCACTTGATAGGTAGTTTTAGTGTCATGACGTCCCTCCACATCGTCGGGCAACCAGGTTTTATACCATTCATTTATCTTATACAACTCTGAAGTATAATCTTTTGAACGTGACTCCGGCGGATGAGCTCCCAAATCTCTTACGTCGAATGTATTCCAGGTGGAAATTTTTTGCAAATGTATAGGATCATTAAAATCATCTGAACGAAAAGTTCTCGGACCAAAGCGTGGAAAGGTTTTATTGAAGAAACCGCGGTATGAGGAAGTATACGAACTGTTAGGAGCAAAATATACGGCTGAAGCGTTAATGGACGGATTAGCTGACACATCTGCGACTGTAGATAAGAAATAATACATCATGCCCGGATCGTAAGTGTCATTGATAGCCGGCCTTATAAAACGTGATTGTAAAATGTAACTCCAAAAAAAACTGCGACTCATGGCCATATTATGCATATGCAATAAAGCGGTACGATTCGGGAAAATTGGATTAATATTAATTTCTTTAATCTCCGGTTTATGGGATATCGCATCCTCGGGCAAATATAAGTCACTAACATGTTGTATGGGACAATTGTCGCCATTTACTTTATCGTATTTGATTTTAATTTCATCAAAAGCATCTCGAGCCTGCCATTCAAATTGGGCATACGCCATAATCAAAAATAACCCAAAAAGCAATAAGCTTTTGGTAAAAACACTTCTTAAAAACATATTACTTATTGTCTAGTATGTGCACCAAAACAAAGGAAAACAACGACTACAGACATTAAACGTCCGCGATAGGTTATTGAAAATGAAATTTTAAATCAAAATTCACATAAAAACTTAATTTAACAAATAAATAAATTCCTTAATACTAACAATAACAGATGGATGGACTGTATGTGTAAGTGTCATTTGACGAACTACGCCCTCCACTGTCATAGGGTTGCCAAAATTCTTCATTTTTGTTTTGTTTCTCTTTAACCAGTATTTTGACGATATTTGAAAGCAGAAAAAGAAAGAAAATTAATTTTTCTGAGAACGAATGAAATATCGTTGTATCATCAATGTTATAAGCGTCATAGTAAAAAATTTCTTGCTAAATATTTTTAGAAATATTTTCTTACAATAGACTTTTTATTATACCCATCACACAAGAATGAGAGGTATATTCATTTTGCCAAAACGTTTGTAACGTTCAGAAGAAATCATCAGAGATCCCACAAAGCATATATATTTCCGTTCGGATAATCTATCCGTCCGTGGTGGATACAAAATATTCGATTCCGACCGAATTTAATTTTCTTACTTGTTTTAGATTCACATCGGAAAAAGTACAATGTTTTGTCGGGGATATATTTTACATTATCGTAATGTAGATATTTATGTATATATGTATATGTATGTATGTATGTATAATGTGTATTTATAAAAATTGTAGCTGTGTTAATGGAAGAAAAATCGTAATTTATATGTACTTATATCACATGTGTTTCTAAAACCTTTATGTGAACGCAGAGCCTTTTTTGTTCTATTTTCAATATCAAGCATGATTATTTGACAGCGTTGCCAACTCATAATTGTGTAGGCGGTTAAAAATTTAGAAATAAACGGTAAACTCTATTACGAATGGAGAAGCGTTAAAGAAAAATAATGCGTAAATATTTGTATTGAACAAGTTGATTGATTTGAAGTGATGAAAGGGAAAAATTGATGAAATTGTTTTGTTCATTTTGCAAATACTGCAATAGTAATAATAAAAAATGTAATAATAAGATCGTATATTATGAGAAAGTACTTTAAGTTAAATCTCTGATATCTGTTAATAAGATCTCTTTGCAAGAAGTAAATGTAATTTCTGGCTAAGAGAAGTTAGGTTTTAATAAATTTTTTTTACGTCAATTTGTCTATAATTTTTCGAACTAGTGTTAGCCTTTGCTTTTAGGTTATCTGTATTTAATAGGAAGAAATTTTGTTTGAACATTGTAAATATCTTGAAGCACATATAAAGTAGGTAAAGAGCCCCGAGACAAAAAATTTAAGAAAAACCGAATTGACGTATTTATGCCCTTCATGAATGCCGACCGGGCGGCCGGATGGAGTAGGAAGCATTTTTGAATGTTCGCTATTAGAAAAATCATGTATTAGTGCAAATATACGTAACAATTTGAAAAGGGAGCATCCCGCTTGGGTACATTGTATGTCCGATAATTAACAATACACAGTCAGTTGCCAGCCGATTGTAACTTTTTCCTATGACGAAGTAGCATTTGGGACATGTTGCAATGTGGGCATGTAGAGGAATTAGGATATGTACCTAATCATCTGCTTATTTCGTTTTTCTAATCGTCGGAACGGTAAGGAAGCAATATATTATAGTAAGATGTTTTAGAATTATCTTAGGATTGAGTTTTATGAAAGATGGTCGTCTGCTTGCTGTTAGACAAATTTTCTATAGCTATTGTCTGTGTTTAATCAATATTGTTAGTAAAAACAAAAAAATGCAATTTCAAAACAATATTTTATCTCAATGGTGTTTCGATTATTTACTACGCGCAATTCCTTATCCGTCCATTGGATTTCAAGTAATGATATTACAACTCATTGTAGATGCATGTAGTCTTTCTTCATTCGTGATGAGAGTTAATAATAGAAATATTTGCAGATGCACAGATAGTGGAGAAAAGTGTTTTCTTAAATAATTGGTAAAAAGTTTAAACGAATATGAAATATATAACCATTTTTCTTTCCAAGTATATAAATAAAAGAAAGAACACAGAAAAAAGGTAAGAAGAATAGTATGCCCTTTGGCTAAATATGTCTATTGTTATTTTTGCGCTTGCTTTAAATAAGGAAAAAATGATGTTATCTACGATTGTGTACACATGTCATCTTGGAATATATGTTAGGCACCATACATAGACGCATTTATTTCAATTCCTTTAAGCATACTGTTGTCGTTCGTCTTATATTTTACCTTTATATGGTGGGGGGATAATAATGATAGAGACTCTTGTCTTCTCTTGTCTCGTCTTTTATGTCTGTTGCTGCCACAAGCTTTACTATTATTATTATTATTTTCTTTTTTTCTTACCTATTGTGCTGAAAGTTTCTGTGCAATGTTATAACAACATCTTGAATAGTTTTATGCTTGCAACAACAATAAGTTTTTCTTGTTATTGTTGTTGTCGATCGTTCTTTTAGGGTTGAATTTTTGGAATCAGCCCCAGTCATGAACATAACAAAATAGTGGCAAATTTTAGTGACCGAATGTAAATAGTAAGAACAAAAAAAAAAAAACAAAAAAAAAGAAAAAAAAGATAAAAGTACAACACCTAGAGACTAAAAAGTGTGCTTAAGTTGTTTTTGTGTGAATGTATGAAAGGAAATGACCCAAAAGGATGTCAAGTCTGAGTAAAACAAGTTTGTAGATTTTCGCTTGCCTTCTTATACAAATGGTTTGTTGTTTACACATTTGTACGACGTACGTTCGGTAGAAGAGCAAGTGTACAATTTATCTATGAGTTAAGTTTATTTTGAAAGGGGACGGACCTACGACAACATAAGATACCTTTTGTGTAACCGGAAAACAAGAGCAGCAGCATATGTTTTTGGATATACACTTGCATACAGACGCACAAACATACATGTGTATGTACGCATTTTGCTATGTATATGTGTATATATACCGGGTGTATATATGTTTGGTGTGTTGTGGTGCACACATGCTTGCAAAGGATATTGTTTAGGGATAATAGCAAGCAAGGAATAAATAAACAAATAACTAATTATTATGCGTACAAGTTTAGTGCTTATTTATGGCTGAACATGACGTTCGTTAACCCTTTGCGGCCTAAAATGGTATAAAGTAAATATTTCATATCGAATTATTATTGCAGAGATTTCTTTTTCAACTACATCTCAGACGACAAGTGATGCAGATAGCGTGCCCAGAAAAAGTCCTTCACGTTTGTTTTCAAGAGGCCTATCCCTAAGATTGTTTCTAATAGCTTTTGTGAAGTTCTTCACTACTGCGAAGATTGAATCAACATTAGTGTGGTATTATATATACATATTTTATATTGACCGTAATCTTCCAACTGATACCGTCCCTCCTCTCTACGCTAGAGTGAGCACAAATTTAAGATGCGACAGAACTGCAAGAGCCACGACTATACTTTCACTTTTTCACTTTATTCTAATGGCAAGAAAAACCTTTCAAAAATTTTATAAATGTATCAGCGCAAGTTAACAATACTTTATTTACACTTACTTCTGGCAATCTCAAGAATTTAGAGCGAATTTAGAGAGAATAGCGGGTGAAGGTAGATATAATATAAATATCGAGATGGCGATCGAGTAATATATATAAATATACAGAGCTCGATTTTTGCTTTCTAAGAACGAATTAAGTGTCATTCTTGCAAGACAATGCACAGGTTCTACTTAATAGTCTTGAAAGGAGTGGCCTCGAACGCTGTTGGTAAGGTGTTATCTACTGCATTTGATTTTACACTGAAATGTCATATATCTTGTGCAAATTGCTTGTCTGCTTTGTCTCGGACTCCGCAATTCTTTGGGCAGTCCATAAGACTTGACCTTCGAGAACACGTCTATTGAATATCTAATCAGTTTTGCTAAATGCTGAAATGTTGCTTTTTCACTTTATGCAAAGTAACGTCCTTTTAAGGTTTCAATCACTTTCTCCACATGGAAAAGACTCCTGTCTTTTAAACCGTTGATAATGGATGAAAATAAACTGATTGGCATATCAAGGAGATAAAACTCGTTCCGCTCATTGAATTTCACCGCATTTTCAAGAAATCCTTTTAAATGCCGGAGATAGTTGTAAAGATTTCAGATTGTTGCTTCGCTGTTTTTAAGGATTCTGAATACTAATTATAGCAACTTGATTAACAGGGCGAAGGTGTTGGCGGAAGATTATTTGTGGAAGTAGCCCCTTGAAATCAGCTTTGAATGTGTGAAACGGATCAACGGATTTTGTTATGACGACTCTATTGAGAAATGGTCTACTGATAATAGTCTGCTGAGACGAATGGTGAAGACAGACTTTGCTTATTAGATTGTATGTAATCGAACCAAAATTTATTTAAATACACCAGCCATGAACGATCCCATTCGTAAATACTATCGAAATTTGTCTGGTTAATCATTGTTTACATCAGGCAAGGGCAACTGTCGTCCCGCTGGCCGCGTTCAAATAATTGAATTAGCTCGCATATGCAATGCTGCAAATCGATTGCAGCCGTCTTCACGACCGGATCTATTATAAGCCCCTATTAAATATGAAATGTATTTGAGGCCATAAAATGAACGATTTAGAAAGAAGGAAAATTGACGAACAATGCATTATTAATAATAGGTGGATTTTACTCTGTCTGACCCGTTGATGAAAAAAATTTCCCATTCCCGGTTTACGTGGTTGCCTCTACCTGGACAAGTGCATTTGTCCCAGTCAGCAAAGTTAATTTCGTAACTGTTTTTTGCTTTGAGCGAGAATCTGTGGCACTAAAAATCAATCTCCACGAAATAATCACGTTTTGAAAAATAAAAAGCGGTAACAGTGGAATATCCCACAACTCTTACTTTATGGGGATGTTTATATTGAACAAAAGTATTAGCAGTATTTCCTGCTGAAAACACTACAACGCCATTATTTCTGCTTTGTTAACTGATTTCTTCATCCTTCCATCAAAAAAATTATCTTACGCCTGGTAGTTATCATATATTGCGATAGTCGAGAAAAATTTGCATTTTCAATATTCGTTAGTATGTGCAGCACAGTGTTCTAAATAATTGCTATTAGGGAATTTCTGGGGTTAGATTCCTAGTTCTTTAGCACGA